AACCCTTTGGAACCTAAACCCCAAACCTCTCAACCTGAAATATTTGGCGGAACGCTTGGGGGGCCGCTGCGGGGAAGCAGCGCTGAGCAGAAGGAGGGTCCCTCAAGCGCGGCACGCCCGAAAAAGTCCCAAACCTCAAGCCCACGAACACCTACAATAAGCCCCGAACCTTCAACCCCTAACTTTGAACTTAAACCTTGGGGCTTGGGGCTTTTTCGAGGTTCACGGGGGTCACAGTGCGTCGGCCGCCCTGCCTCCGGCAAGCTTTGCAGAACGTCAGGTGCCCGCACGCCTCGGCTCGCCACGAGTGGGCTAGGGATTGAGGGCTTGTGGGCTTGTGCGGGAGTTGCTTTTGCAACCGACCTGAACGCTTCGGGAGGAAACCCCCCCCTGCCGGCCGGATGCAGAGCTGACAATGTCGGCGTCTTTGGCTTGGCAAGCGAGGCAAAGGCCATCCTCACAGCCAAGGGTTTAGGGTTTAGGGTTTAGGGTTTAGGGTTTAGGGTTTAGGGTTTAGGGTTTAGGGTTTAGGGTTTAGGGTTTAGGGTTTAGGGTTTAGGGTTTAGGGTTTAGGGATGTTTCGGGGTTCGGAGGTCGGGTCTCTACAAGTACGGTTTGGGAGGTTTAGCGGCCTGTAGCAACTGGCATAGCAGTTGACCCAGCGGGTGAGAGCTTGTCGGACGAAACCGAGACCCCGCTCAATGCGCCTGAGCCCCTAACCCCCAAACCCTTCACCCCAAGCCCTGTCCTCCCGCTGGGCGATGGGGGTCGCCTCATGATGGACCTCCTGTCCGTTGGACTTCGAAGGACCCGGCAAATTGCTGAAGGGTTGGACTAGACACATCTTTGCAATCAGACGGCCCCAGGCATGGGCACCTATGGGAAGACGAATTCTACTCACGCCCCATCGCTTTTGTACGAGCAGCAAGGTGACTCGACAGCCGCCCCCGCCCCCACTCCACTCCGATTTCCCGCAGAGCGAGCGCCAGGGTTATAAAGCCTCGACCTTCCACACCTTAACACACTCATGAACCGAGCCATGTCCAGCTGCTGCTCATTTAGAGTGGAGCTCAAGCTTAGCGTTGAGCCCTACCTGTCTGTTTCGAAGAAGGGTTGCATAAGCCTGAAGGCCCTAAGCAACCCTAAACCCTAAACCATCCTAAACCCTAAACCCATCCTAGACCCCCCTCGCCTCCGTCGCCTCCGGAGCTTCGACCGTCTCTGGCCTCGGCGCTGGCGATATATACAGGGGACTTTTAATCATTAGAATAGGGTTTTTGGGGTTTTAGGGATTTTAGGGTTCAGGGTTCAGGGTTCAGGGTTCAGGGTTCAGGGTTTAGGGTTTAGGGTTTAGGGTTGAGGGTTGAGGGTTGAGGGTTTGGGGTTTAGGGTTTGGGGTTTAGGGTTTGGGGTTGAGGGTTTAGGGTTTAGGGTTTGGGGTATAAAATTAGAGTGACCGTAAGGGAAATAGTAGTAGTACAACTCAGTTTCAAGGGCCGTTTTGGGCTTCGTTTGGGTTTTGGGAGTTCCGGCGCTGGCAGCCTCTCACGCACGGAGAAGCTGGGGCACCGCATGCTGAGGTCGAACTGCTAACCTACGTTGGATTCTGAGCACACTCATCCCCTTAGAACCTCAATAAAAATAATATGTTTAATATCCTCTTGGGTTTTATGTAAACAAATAAAAAAACAATAATAATAATAAACACAATATATATATATATATAATTATATTTATTTATTTCCCAAGGGGGATATAGAATCCGCCCCGGAGCCGTGTCCCTGAACCGCCCAAGACCTGAAAGGTCAACGCCAACCACCTTGCAGACTCTAGACAAGACCGAGGGATACCGAGGGACTGGCACGTGCATGTTGCTCACTCTTTGCAACACTCAAACTCCCCAATTAACTCGTGGGCCCACGTGTAATGAGGCCACATCTTGTGAGGGGATGTCGCTTTGTTGGGCCCAGGTCGCGTGCACAGGTCCTATGTATCACTTAGTGATCTTCGCATCTATCATGCTGCCAGTTGTCGCGGGAGTCTCGGCCGTTGGACTCTCAGTCGGCGCTGCCTCGCGTGGTTTAGGGGGGCTCGCGAAAAGCAATCCAACGAAAGGGAGGGGATGGGGGGGGAGGAGGGGGGATGGGGGAGGAGGGGGAAGGGGGGAGAAGGGGGAAGGGGGGAGGGGGGAAGGGGGGAGGGGGAGGGAGGGTGGTAGCTGTCTTGACATCTTCGCCTACATCATAGTAGCTGCCGTGAGTGGCAAGCACGCCCAGGAACTGCCAGAGCCTAAGATTCCGCGCTCGAGAACGCAGGCGACATCTCCCAAAACCCGAAGGCACCCGAAACATCCTCAAACAATGGCCGGCCAAACCTTCAACCTCATCAACCCTATAACTCCCCCCCCCCCCACCCCAGGTTCTCATGACTGGTGTCCCGTTTTTGGGGAACCTAGAATGTTAGTACAAGGCCGTACATTTAGGAAACCCGACTAGAAGAGCCCATAGATTCCATCGTCCTTCAAATGAAGCCCTCAACACGACTCACCTTGGGTGCCTCCGCGGCTTCGTCCTGAAAGACAGCTGTGGCTTCCTCCCGGCGCTCCTTCCTCTGCAGCTTTAGTAACTAAGGGTTTTAGGGTTTAGGGTTTAGGGTCAGGGATTTGGTGGCTTCGACTCTCACACTAGCATGCGCGGGCGAGGATCCTGGTACGAGTGCCGGTGAAAAGCATGGGTCCCCAGACTCCCACACACAAGCAGGGTTTAGGGTGTGTGTGTGTGTGTGTGTGCGTGCGTGTGTGGGTGTGT